CTTTGTCTAGTATGAGATAACTGCACTTATGTGGATTAGTCTCTGTGTCCTCTATTCTGTACCATAGGTCCACAAGTCTATTTTGGTGCCAAAACCATGACATTTTTGTTACTATTGCTCTGTAGTATAGGTTAAGATCTGGTATTGTGATACCATCTGCTTCACTCTTCTTGTCAAGGATCCCTTTGGCTATACTGGGTCTTTTATTTTTTCCAGATAAATTTAATGATTGCTTTCTCTATTTCTATGAGAAATGTCATTGGGGTTTTTATTGGAATTGCATTAAATTTGTATAGTGCTTTTTGGTAGAATGGTCATTTTGACAATATTAATTCTGCCTAAATCCATTAACAAGGGAGAACTTCCCATCTTCTAAGGTTCTCTTTAATTTCTTTCTTTAGTATTCTGCATTTTTATTTTAGAGGTCTTTCACCTTACATTAAGTTGATTCCCAAGTAATTTTTGAGGCTATTTTAAATGGGTTGTTTTTCTAATTTCTCTTTCAGAGAATTTGTCACTGATGTGCAGAAATGCATTTGATTAATGGGTATTGATTTTATATCCTGCTACATTGCTGAATTCATTTATTAGTTCTAGATGTTTTCTGATGGAATTTTGTGGATCATGTAGGCATAGAATCATGTCATTAGCAAGTAGTAATAGTTTTGAATTCTTCTTTTCCTATCTGTATCCTTTTAATTTCTTTCATTTGTCTAATTGCTCTGGCTAGAGTTTCAAGAACTATGTTAAATAGAAGTGGTAAAGGAAGCATCCCTGTCTTGTTCCAGTTTTTAGAGGGAATGCTTTTAACTTTTTTTCCCCATTTAGAATGATGTTGGCCTTGGGCTTAGAATAGATAGCTATTGCAATGTGGAGATATGTTCCTGTAATCCCTAGTTGTTCTAGTGTTTTGAACATGAAAAGGTTCTGTATTTTTTTGAATGCTTTTTCTGCATCTATTGAGATGATATTTAAGTCTCTTGATGTGATGAATTACATTTATTGATTTTCTTATGTTGACCAATCTTGCATCCCTGGGATGAACTCCACTTGATCATGGTACCCTATCTTTTTGATATGTTTTTTATTTGAATTGACAGAATTTTATTGAGAATTTTTGCATCTGAGTTCATTATAGATATTGGTCTGAAGTTTTTTTTTCTTTGATGTGTCTTTGATATTGGTGATATTAGTCTCATAGAATGAGTTTAGAAGTGTTCCCTCTTTTTCTATTTTATGGAATAATTTGAGGAGTATTGGTATTATTTCTTCTTTGAAGGTCTTGTAGAACTCACCTGTGCATCTGTCTGGTCCTGGGCTTTTCTTGGTTGGTAGTTTTCGATGGTGTCTTCTATTTCATTGCTTGAAATTGATCTTTTTAACTTGTGTATATCATCCTGATTCAGTTTGGGCAAATCATATGACTCTAGAAATTTGTCGATGTCTTTAATATTTTCTATTTCATTTGGGTACAGATTTGCAAAATAATTTCTAATTATCTTCTGTATTTCTGGTGTTCCTTGTAATATTTTCTTTTTCATCACAGACAGATTTTAGTGATTTGAGTTTTATCTTTCCTTCTCTTCATTAACATAGCTAAGGGTTTATTAATTTTATTTATTTATTCAAAGAACAAACTTTTTGTTTTGTCAATTTTTCAATTGTTTCTTTTGTTTCATTTTCATTGATTTCTGCTCTGATTTTAATTTTTCCTGTCTTCTACTGCTTTTGGTGTTGATTTGTTCTTTTTCTAGGACTTTGAGATGTAATGTAAGGGCACTTGTTTGTTCACTTTTTCTTCTTTTATAGAATGAATTCCATGCAGTGAATTTTCCTTAGTACCGTCTTCATATTGTCCCATAGATTTTGATATGTTGTATAAGTGTTCTCATTTACTCAAAGAATTTTTTAATCTGCTATTTGATGTCTTCTGCAGTCATTGTTCATTCGATAGCATATTATTTACTCTTTGGGTATTGGACTTGTTTCTATTTTTTTATTTTATCATTTATTTCTGATTTCATTTCATTATGATCTGATGGAATGCAGGATAGTATCTCTACTTTTTTGTCTTTTCTAAAGTTGCTTTGTGGCATAATATATGGTCTATTTTAGAGAAGGATCCATGTGCTCCTGAAAAGAAAGTGTATTAACTTGTTGAAGAATGAAATATTCTATATATGTCAGTTAAGTCTAAGTTATTGATTGAATTATTGAGCTCTACAGTTTCTTTGTTTTGCTTTTGTTTGATATATCTATTCAGTGGTGAAAGATATGTATTAATGTCCCCCAGAATTATTGTGTTGTGGTCTATTTCACTCATAAAATTGAGAAGAGTTTGTTTGATGCACATAAATGTTCCATTGTTTGGGGCATATATATTTATAATTTTTAGTTCTTGTTAATATATGGTTCCCTTAAGCAGTATATAATATCCTTCTTTAAACCTTTTGATTAACTTTGTCTTGAAGTCTGCTTTATTTGATATGAGGATGGAAACCCCTGCTTGTTTCTGCAGTCTATATGAGTGGTATGATTTTTCCCAATCTTTCAGCTTCCATCTATGGATGTCTTTTCCTATCTAATGAATCTCTTGAGGGCAGGATCTTGTTGGGTCTTTTTTTTAAAAAAAATCCAATCTGCAAGTCTATGTCTTTTAATTGATGAGTTCAAGCCATTAATATCCAGGGTTATTATTGAGACATTATTTGTATTCCTGGGTATTTTTGTTTACTTTTGGTTTTTAACTTGACTTGGTTTCTCCTTTGATTGATTTTCCCTCTAGTGTAGTACCTGCCTTTGCTGATTTTCATTGTTGTTTTTCATTTCCTCCTTATGGAATATTTTGCTGAGGATGTTCTGTAGTTCAGGCTTCCAAGTTGTAAATTCTTTTTGCTTTGGTTTATCATGGAAGGTCATTATTTCATCATCAAATATGAAGCTTAATTTTGCTGTATAGAAGATTCTTGATTGGCATCCATTTTCTTTCAGAGCTTGATATATGTTATTTCAGCATCTTTTAGCTTTCAGGGTCTGGGTTGAAAAATCTGCAGAGATCCTTATTGGTTTCCCCCTATATGTAATCTGATTCTTTTCTCTGTGGCTTTTAAAATTCTCTCCTTATTCTGTATGTTTCGCATTTTCATTATAGTATGCCTTGGTATAGGTCTGTTGTGATTTTGTACATTTGATGTCCTGTAAGACTCTTGTATTTGATTTTCTAATTCATTCTTTATGTTTGGAATATTTTCTGATATTTTTTCATTGAATCAATTGTTTATTTTTTTTTTGGTTTGTAACTCTATACCTTCCTCTATCCTAATAATTCTTAAATTTGGTCTTTTTATGTTATTCCATGATTATGAAATATTCTACTCATGATTTTTTACCATCTTCACTGTGTGGTCAACTTAATCTTCTGAATTAAATATTTTGTCTTCATTGTCTGAAGTTCTGTCTTCCAAGTGATCTAAAATATTGGTGGTGCTTTCTATTGAGTTTTTAATTTAGTTTATTATGTCTTTCATTTCAAGAATTTCTGTTTGTTTGGTGTTTTTTTTTTCAGAGCCTCTATCTCTTTATTGAAGTATTCTTTTACTTCCCATACTTGCTTATGTAGCTCTTTATCAAAATGATCGTTTGCTGCCTGCATTTGTTCTCTTATATCATCTTTTTAATTCACAGAACATTTTAATTATGTACATCTTGAACTCTTTCTCTGTAATTTCTTTTGTTGTACTGGCCGTGGATTCTAATCATGTTGTATCTTGGTTTGTTTGGGGCACATTCTTCCCTTGTTTTTTTTTTTT